TGGGCGACCTGCCACAACGGGTTCTTTCTTTTTGTCTGAAAGGTGTTATTCATCGGTGTTCTCGGATGCGAGGTGTCGCATGTCGGACACTGTGGGAGTTGAGTGGTGTTTTTTTTCTGTTCGTTTTACACTGTTTGCAGCATATTCGATATTTGCACAGATAGCTGAAAGCTATAGGGGTTCTTACTTCTCATCGGCGTTTTGCTCCACCGCCTTGTCTGCTGCCTGGCTTGTCTCCTTGCTGGTCTCCCCAACGAGGGTCCGTGACGACGGCTGTTTCGAAGCCTGGTCTGTCTGCGCCAAAACTCCTCGAAAGGTCCACCACTCTTCAGTGTCTCCCCGCTTGTCCGCTGCTTGTCCGCTGCTACTTGTATCTGGGGTCTATGGTTGATGAGGGTGTGGCCCAGTAAACCAGTATGTACATAAGCCATCTATAGCCGATCAGTAAAAAGATAGCTTCTCTTTTTGACATGTCAGCCTGCCACTGGCACCTGGTCACAAGTTCATGGGATAGACCCAAACTAGAATGTAGGTGATCAGTTGTCACCGTTCATGGATCTTTCACAAACTCGGCCCCAGCAAATCTAGCGACCACATGTTGCCTTTCTCTTGCGAACCAGTGGATCCAAAGGCAACCAACCCTAGGCCCTAGAATCCCTACATGGAACCCAGTGGGGTTTGGGGCGCCGACTCGCACCGACGGACCCAGTTGGGCCGTGGCATGGATAGCTCTCTGGCGGAGAAGCTCGCAGCGGGTCATGCCACACACGAAGTCCCGAGTCCGCAGCGGGCTGGCTCTGCTGGGTGGACTTCACCCCCCAAGTCATGGCCGTCGTTTGTGGTTCGGGGCCATGACTCCGAGAAAACTCCTTTGGATGCGTAGGTGGGGATCTCAAGTCGTAGGTTGTTACCTGTTCGAGGTGCTGAGTCCCAGGTTTAGCCTCCTGGCCAGTGCGATGGCCCAAACCATGGGCCTCGTGGGTGGCGAAAACCACTTTTTCACCTCGGTGGGCAGAATTGAAAAACACCTCGTGAACTTGACCATTTGGAGTCTAGTTGGCAAAACATATTTACTGTCTAATAGTTAGACTTTCAATTGGACTAACTGGTCTATTTGAGCAAATGTGATGCATCCTAAAATAGCCTTGAGGTTGTTTGATCAAATGGCCTTGACCATGTTTAGCCTGGTGAAACGGTCGAGGTTTCGGTGACCGCCGGTTTTTCACGACGCCGTCCGGTGCCCGTTGGTCCCGTTTCGTGCACAGACCCAGTGGGCGAAGGAAAGCGTGGCAACGACCTCCATCTCTAGCTGCAGGGTTCCAAGAGAGGTTGAACAGCCCCAAAAAGCCAGAAAAGCCCATCCCATATGTAACACTACAGCATGCTATAAGGTCTCTCAGCCTCTCTTGGTTGTTGACCCAGAAGCCACAAAGGACACACCGCTTGAGCGGCTCGGACGACCGAGCGGTCTTTCACTCACCCTTTTCGACGGTCGCGCTCTCCAAGCCGTCCGCATGTTCGTCCTGAAGGTCGGTGAGAAGGGAGACAAATAAACCCGGTGTAGGGGCCACGGCTATTTGGATTCGATATCTATACCAAAGGTTTTTTCATGATAACCACTGAGGCGGCAGCAGAAGTGGCTTTGAGAGGACACAACCACCCAATTCGCGCAGGTTTGGGAGGGTATTCTTCAGCTTTGCAGCCCAAGGCAGAGAAAAAGCCAGTCGAAAAACATTTTCAGCAGCCAGCCAGACCAGCCGAGAGCCAAAGGATATTTTGAGAGGCAAACTCACAGCTTTGCAGCCCGACCAGCCAAGACAGCCAAAAGAACGGCAAACTCACAACTTTGCAGCCCAAGGCACAGAAAAGGCCTGTCAAAAAGGGATTTCCAGCAGACCCGACCACAGCCATAAGGGATTTTGAGGCAGCCCAAAGCAGAGAAAGAGCCTTTCAAAAAGTATTTTCAGCAGCTTGACCGGCCGAGACAGCCATTTTTTTGAAATGCTCTTTTTTTCATTTTATTTTGTTTTATTTATTTATTTTTTATTTTTTCGCAACTTTGCAGCGACAAAGCATTGCCCGCAGCCTGTGCAGAAAGGTAGCTGCAGGACATGTTTTCCATAATGATTCATTGAAACCTCATCTGTGGACAGCCAAAGGTGAGGACGAACGCCGGACCTCTCCTGTACACCGCACGGTGCAAGAAAAACGAGTCAAGGAGTCGAGGCGGTGTCTTGGCGAGGCGAGGTGCGAGAAAAACGCGAGGTGCGAGGGTACGCCCCAAATCCAAAAGGGAGACGAGGTGAGACTCGCTTTGAGCCTCCCAGGCTGAAGCGTCCAGCGCGGTGGGCAGCTGTCAAGGCGTCTCCTGGCCCAAGTGGTGTCTCGATGTGGCCAGCTCAAGGTATGGTTACTCCGAAGAACACTCACATGGACATGACCATCCAAAGGGTCACCAATACTCCTAACCACCCCTACAAAAAACCATCGATGCAAGTGGATGTCTTCGGAAGCCTCATCCTCCGACCTCGGGGTCGTCTTCCCACCTTGGCCCCGTCGGATGATTTCAGGGAGTGTCGGACCGATCGACCAGTCAGCTTGCGGTCACCCAAAGATGGACAGATGGAGGTCAGCACCAACCACCAGGTGATGGGGAGCCACAGCCAGGCCAAGGTCGGTGTCTCCAAACAAGTGGGCGCCTCCTAAGCCATGGGCCACCTCACACTTCGAGACCGCAGGACCAAGCGAGACCACGGATGTTTGTCCGTGCGCAGAGACCAAATCCTCGTGTGGGCATTTGTAGAGTCTTGCGATTTGGAATGTAGATCGCTTGATTCATCACCCCTCCCAATTTTGATGGTAAACCTCTTCATATGGGGAAATGATGACTCAGACATGGCCTCGTTCATGTTCATCGACTTGGTCTTCATGTAAATCGTCGTGGACCACTCGTCGGACACGGATGGGTTTGGGTCAAATCTGGGGCGCTTGGGCAGACGGAGATTGAGCGTTTCGCACGAACCCAGGACATCACCAGCGACTGTCCATCTTGCTTCATGAAGGGGAACCACAACTTAGCTAACCTTGGCCAAAACCACGGTAGGTGACCATCCGCATCAAGATTCCTTTTTGAGAGACGGGAATTTTGCAATTGACCCTTAGAAGTAGATACCACCTTGATCACTTGGCAGTTGGTCAAATCGGATCGACTTGCTCGGAGACGGACGAGAAAAGAGGACACCCAGCAGTGATCTCTTATCTTGGAACCAGAGTTAGTACTTTTGTTAAAACCCTATAAATACAGTATTTCTTGTCAGTGTCATTGACTTTTGGGCAGAGGACAGAAATCCGAGAACTGCGGAAGAGCATGGGGACGGGTATGAAACCTTACCTGTACCCATCCAACCCGGGCCCATATGATTCTGTAAATATGTCCACTTGAGACTTCTTGGGAGGTCTGGTGAAGCACTTGACTTTAATGACCTTGGTGAGCTATTTGAGAGCTTGGCTGCGGTGCCGGGCCCCCGGGGCCCGGTTCGATCCCATGCCTCAAGGCACCTGCAACGTGGGGTCCTGCCATGTGGAAGAGTTTGCCGCCTGGCAGGAACCCGCGCGGGGCTTGCGGAACCCCGAAGACGTTCCATCGTTTTCGGCTCCCGTCACGTGCGTTTTCGGCTGAGCACTGATGGCGCAGTGTGCCATTCTGAGGTCACATTCTGATTGAGAGAAACACATGAAAACAAAGAAACGTCTTTGGATCTAAAATGACGTTGATCTGTTTTAGGCCAGACAGGGATCTGGTAAACGACATGTGGGACATGGGTCTCTCACCGTATGTCGGTGAGAGACCCATGTCTGGCGGCATCTTGCTTGGTAGACGAGAACAGCGTCAGACGTGGCCATTTGCAGAAATCCCGCTCAGTGCTAGGTGGATTTCGGACATCTCTTCGGTCAAGTAGCTGAGACCCTTTTATTTGGTCAAAGCACTAGGCACTTAGTAATCAAGACCAGCAGACCAAAAAAAGGTGTGAGTTGTAGCCTGACAGCTTGGGCTTTCAAGCGAAGAGTCCAATAACATCGACTTCTTGGTGGGTGTACTTCGACAGATGTGGCACCTGCAAGACTGCAAGAGACTGCAAGCGACTGGAAGACACCCTCTTTCTATCTGCTAGCAGCTGATCAGGCTGATGAGGCTTCGGTCCCACCTTATGCTGCACCTCTCACAACCCTCCATGAGTCTCTCGCCATGACACCCCCATCTCCGGTCTCGTGCGGCTGGCGGTCACGTGGGGCGTCGTTCACGTTGAGGCACTGCTTGGTGCACAACATGCCGCAACACCTGCCGCCAGAGCAGCAGCGGAGCTTTGAGGCGGTGGATGGGTTATGTAGTGGTATCTGTGCGCCGGGTGAGGGAATGTAGAAGGGGACATGGGGTTGTTTCAGAGTTGTCCTGGAAACTGCGATTCGCTTGCAAAGTTCCTTTCGCAAGGTCATCACTGAGTGGTCGCCGTGTTGGAGGTCTTGGGATGGCAAGGAGGAGGTCAACAGGGGTTTCGGTGCCCACTCCGGTCATGTTCCAGTGCCCAGTGGGTCGTGCTTTTTTGGACCCGACCACCGAGCTCCACAGCGGGTTCCAGGACCCAAAGCAGTCCGGGCGATTCTGAGGGCACGAGACACGAGAGAGGAAAAAGCATGTCTCGTGAACCAGCGTGTCCCTCCGAAGACACCGAAGGGAGTGTTCCAAACCAAAGACAATTAGCCGTTCTCCTGGCATGTCTTCACCGATGCAAGCAAAAGAGGCTTCATTCAAAGGCGTTTGCTCCCTTTTTTGTTTTGTATATATAAGTAAAAGAATCTTTTGCCGCGTTCGACCATGTTCGGAAGCTTTGGTTTGATTCTCTCAATTCTGGTCGTAGAACCATGCACATATAGACACTTCGCATTGTTCCGCCCAAGATGGAACGACCGGGCAGGACATGATGACTTCGTTGCCCTCGACGTTGCCCTGTGGCTCGGCGTCGCCCACCTTGGGGGCCTTGGTGGTGCGGTGAAGCATCCATCTCGTTTGGTCTAAGAGGGTGAGTCCTCTCCTCACGCAGAGCCCCTCTCCCCCCGAAAGAACGTGGTGGACGCGTTCCGATCGCCAGGGCGCCTGACACGCTGTTCTCATGACGAAGTTCGCGCCCGGCTGGCAAGAAGCACCCACATATACACAGTGTCACAAGACCGGATCACGCAAGTGAGCGACACACATCGAATTAAAGCATTCAAGGAACATGAGGGTTATGATTTTGTCTTTAAGGGCCACCCTGAGGTCTTTGTTGAACATTGCATGTAGATGAAGCGGGACTTCAGGTAAAGCGGGCTCTATGGGTGCAATTGGAGGTTTATTGGAACAGGCAAAAAACTGCATGTTAATGGTGGGTTAACTATGGGTGACTCGGAACATCTTGGAGATCTGGCATAGTCCGCCTGGGTATCGTGCCTTGGGCCCTTGGGCCTAGGAAGGTAAGGAGGCGCCTGCTTGCCTGGCAACACTGGTTAGAACCCAGGGCCAGGTTACCCATCTGATGGGAGCGGTCGCGACATGGCATGCGACATGGCGGTCAACAGGCCCTACACGACATGAGCGCTTGAGCGCATGAGCGTGCTTCACAGCCGAGACGGAAAGCGCACACCCTGACCATCAGGAGGGCAGAATCTGGGTGGAAGAGAGTTGAGAGTCCACGGCCTTTTTTCCACCCACAATGATACGAAAAGGGTCATGATTTGGTGGCACCGGCCACCTGAAAGTAGGCCATTGGCTTAAAAGTTTCAACGTAGTTACTAATCGCAACACCCTTTGACCGCCCTCAGAAGTAGAATTTCCCTCAAATTAATGGTGGTCATTGCACATGGGCGTTGGGAGATTCCGGAGAGGATGGTCAAAGGGATCAAATGAGGTTGCAGGTGTGGAAGGGTCGGATTCGAAGTGAACCCGTGCCGCACGTAAAGTACCACGCACCAGGAAATGCCAGACGGCAGATAAAACAGCAAACTCAAGACCAGGTTTTCTTGTACTTCCTGTGTCTTTGCTTTTCCAAGTCTATATAGGTGTGCTTTGAGGTTGGGACAATTTGCGGTCCCCGGTGATCGATCGAGGTGGCAGTTGTGGCGATCACCTTCGACAGCACCTTCACGATGATCCGCCACTCGGTGTCACCAAGACGGCAGTGTACATGTGGGTGTCCCGTGCACGGTACCCAGAAGGTCGGCTTGTTCCTTGTATGAGTGTGGTTTGTGGCGAGATGTTGATCCCTGCGTACAATTCAGAAGAAAAGGGTTGTTTGACTTCAGAGCTGTTGGCCAACATTATAACATATTTTAACAACCAAGACCTCAAGCCTCCTTCAGAGCCATTTGCAGCCTGGATCGAACCAGATGTATTCTCAGTAGCACAACAGCTACCTTTTCACTCTCCAGACATCCTTTCAAACAGAGCAGAATAGCTACTGAATAGCTGGAAACCGGTCAAACTGAAAGACACGGCCCAACACGTGAATCTCTGAATCCCTCACAGCGTCCCAACACGCGTCCGCTCACGCGTCCGTTCGATCTAGCAAGCAACAGCATTTGCCTGGCAGCGTCCCAGCGTCCCGAACGGAACGGAGGGTGGGCCTTTGAATCTGACACTCCTTATGACGCAAGGGGTGGTCCTTTGAATACTCCTTGAAGTGGGGGTACCCCTTGAAGTTTCCTCTTTCCTCTGACACCTGAGCCTTCGAACCACAGGCCCACGCCCTACCTGGCGACCCGGGACGATCTGGAACGCTGGCTAGTCCGTCTCCACAACACGGCGCCCTGGTTTTCGGAGCTGGAAAGCCAAAGCTGGGCGAAGAAGGGTGTTGGAAGGTTGATGAAGGTTATTGGTGCTTTGACTACAGTTTCTTTAGGGATAGTTTAGATATTAACGTCTCTGTTTATTAGTATTGCTGTACAATAAAGACACACACACACACAACAAAGCAAATTTTGTGATTCTAGACTGGCCACAAGGTCTGAAGCGAAAAGGTCAGGCAGTCGGTCCCCGAAGCGCTGTCTTCAAACAATGAGAACCATTTTTTGGCGAGTCGAATCTGTACTTCTTGATTCCGCGCCAAGAGAAAACAGATGAATGATGATGAATACTCGCTTTTTCCCCTGGTTGGGTGATTCTACAAAGGGCAACTGCCATTGACTTTCTTTGCTCCTGGTCACGTAGTTGGCCTGGCATCGCGCTGGGATGTGTGGGAAGGCATGCCGAGATTAGGTGAATGTGGAGACGGGCAAGGCTCCAGTCTCCGAGTCAGAGGCTGGTGTTTGACAGAGGGACTAATTACTCCAGGTGGTTTGGGAGAAGATGCTTTGCATACCTTTTTGGGAGTGATATATCTATCCGAGCAGCTCTATTGCCTATGATATCTTCTGCTCGGGGGATTGTTGAAAGAGATGTTCAAAGCAGAAATCAGATGCCCTCTACCTGAGCTCCAAAAAGACTGGTTTGCTGACGTGATTTACCCTAAGAATCCCGACCCTCAAATGGAAAGGAATTACTGTAGAGGGTCCGGACCCCTGGTATGGCTATGGAGGATTCTTAGGATCAGTGGCTTCTTCCGTTTGGTGAATCTGAACCTTCTGCTTTCTTTGCCCTTCTGCCTATCTGTCCACCATTTCCTTTCACCTAACCGAGCGACGCCAGTGTGCTCTATGGAATATGCACCATTTTCTTTGTGGTACCTAAATCGTCCCATGGTTCCAACAAAAAGAGAAAGAACACAAGTGGAACCATGCACAAGTGGCCAAGGGACCTGAATCGTCCCCTGCACAGGCCTTGACCAACATCAACAATATGTGTGCCTGCACGGATGCCGCCGCCCCACAGGCACCTGGCGAGGCTGGAGGGATAGAGACCTGGGTCGGCTGACGAGACTCCGCGCGGAAGCAGCAAAAGCAGTTTTCGGACGTGAGTTTCCATGATTTTCCCAAGTCAGTAATCGGGTGAGTTTTGCTTGCAGATCATCCTGAACGTGCGAGACTCCCCACACATAGACATAGCCCCCACCTGTTTCAGGGTTCAGGGGTCATTTTGCAAAGCCTCTTCCAGGGGCCATTGTTTTCTGTTTGTTTGTTTCGCGGTAACTGGTCCTTGATCAGAGGCAACCAGGTGGCCTCTTCGATGGAAAGAAGTCCAATTTTGACGCTATAGACTAACCTTCCTAGCCTGGTCAGGCCAAACTGCACCGCCGTCTCAGTGTTTGGACATAGGCTCCGAATGCTGTCTGACAAGGCTAGTCAATGTTTCTTCCGAATTGTCATGTTCACCAGAGACAATCTGATTCTTTAAGAAAGAAGACCCCGGAAACAACGAGCCCGTCGAGGGGTGTGTCTCCTGTAAAGTAAAGCAAACATAAGCAAACCCGAATGCACACCAGTTCGTCGCATAGAAAACGGGGCAGGTACAAGAAAGGTACATGCAAGTATCCATATGCCAAGGCAAGGTACAAGAATCATCAAGAATCAACGAACCCTATGCTCGGTGCGATCGGTGCGACTGGGAGAGGAGATGCCAGCCACGATGGCCTCCATGGGCTGGGCTTGGCCGGCTTTGCTTTGCAGGCCCGTGCCCTTTTCACACGACAAGGACTTTCTCCCCCAAGACACCCAGACACCCAAGTTCCAAACTCTTTCGAAGCACCAGTTGACAGGGGTTGACTTCTTAAACATCTTGAGCCAAATACAGCCAACCAGAACTCCAAGAAAATTCACCAGAATTATTGGAGAGTAAATGATCCCTGACGAATGCAGGGATTTGGATCAAACATCGTGTAGAACACCAATGATTCTGCTGCTGTCCCTTCAAAACCATGGGTGCGGGGCCCGGCAAAAAGAGGCCAGTTCACCATAGTGACATGACCCTCCCAAAACCATGGCTTCTGATATTCTGGGAGTTGCTCTTCTCTTGACTCGGTTTCTTGGACCCCCCAGCTTTACCGGAGCTTTTCTGTCCGTCTGCCTGCAGGCCTTGTGCAGGTCTTCGCAAGGCTGGGGAGAAGTTCTCAGCTTTGAACATGCCTTTTTCTTTGGATGAATTGGTTCTCACCAAATGGAGGGTGCAAAGGATCCTTGATTGTCAGAGCATGTGACAGGGGTGACAATATGGACAGTGAAATTCATTTGGCTTCAATGTCGGAACTGATACTTGTACCAAGACCTAGACACTTTAAGCCCCACAGAATCAGTTTTTCGTCCTATCCAAGGCTAATGACACTTATTGAACCTGTGGCCCCCACCTTGCCGACCCTGTGTGGTCCAGTGCAGCAGGTTGCTCAAGAGGAGGAAACTGAGGAAGCTGAGGAGGAAACCGAAGTGGCTGAGAAGCCGAAAGACTGGCAAGACTTCATGTGAGCAGACTGTTCATGTGAGCAGCCTGTTGTTTCGTCACAAACAAGTGGAGACCGACTGCATACTGTTTGCCGGGTTGACGGTGGGTGTTTAAGGGTGTGCGTTCGCCAGGTGCTTAAGCCGGGTGCCGGGGCACCGGAACAGTGAACATGCAACCCTGACCTTCCGGCCAGTTGTTTCTCCCTGCCAGCGTCGATGGGGTCCGCTTGATTGACAGAACTGCGTCAATGTTCTTAGCACTCCATACTCTGATTGGTGGTCTCACCCATAGGCCCCTGGCCTTCAAGCATCTCCGTTTCAAAGGTGCTGTGGCTGGTCGGGTGACTGGGAGTCTAACCATTCAAGGATGTCGTTGGAGCTCTAGGGTCGATCACTCCCTGAATTATTCTAAAGCACTCCATGACACCATCAGGAAAGTGGTTCTACTCAGGCCAAACAAGGCACACTTGTCAGACCCCCGAAAGAATTTCCCACCCAAGTCCGTCTCCACCCACGAGTCCACGAGTCCTCAGAGTCTACCGGAAGGACTCGTCGGTTTGGAGTAGGACCTCAACCCGCAACGCCCGACGACGACCGAAGGGTCACGCCGACCGTCACGCGGACGTCCGGGTGAAGGGTGCGCGACGCGACGCCTGTTGCTGTGGACGGTTCGTCACCCACAGGACGGCACCCTGTTGAGACACGGAAGCCCCGGTGAAGCTCGCCCTGAGCAGTTTTGGGAGCCGAAGCAGGTTTTATTTTGGATCATTCGCCCTTTCACGTCCTGGAAAGCACATGAGTGTCAGATAGTGTCAGTCATATTCGTTAATCGTTCAGTTGAAGCTCTGGAATGTCTGAGGTAGACATTCCCAGCAACAAGTGGCTGACTTCAAGTGCGAATACTGCTTTGTCTTGGCTATCTTGGCTATGAGTGAAGATGAAACGCTCGAGACATGGGTTGGTGAACATTGTGCAGTCCCCAAGTCCCCAGCGCAAATACCACGTAGAACATGTGCCGTCAGTTGAACACATCACACCATGAGCATCTGTGAACACAGGAGCTTGCCAGTCAGTAGGCGCAGGATCGGTGGCCAGCTGGGTCAACCGAGCCCGAGGATCGGTGAAGACCGAGCTCGTGACAGCTGGGCGAAGCTGTGTCCACAGTCTGAGAAGGTACAGCTGTGCCGCCCGAAACGTGGAGTCAAAGATCGTCCAGTTCTTGGGGCGGCTTAGACGGAAGAAGTCCAGTTCCCACGCGAGTTCTAGTGGGTCTTCTTTTTTCCCCAATCCGCGTGGACACACTTAGGAGTTCTTACGGTAGTGGTTAAGCAGATGTGCCGGGGTTAATTTGATCTTTTTTGATGGTGTTTGACTCGCACAAACTCACCGGTCGCCCAGCTGGTCGCCATTTGCAAAGATTTCGCTCTCTCGTTTGCGGGAGCCACCGGAGCCGTGCAAAGCTGCAAGAGCGGGCAAAAATGGATGTTCCATGATGTTCCGATGGACAATACCAGCAAAACCTGGGTGTACAGGAACTCACTGCAAACTGTTGAGCATTGAGCAAAACATGCACACTGTTCACAAGCCCCCCTTCAATGAACAGATGGACAGTGAGGAGGGAAGCAAAGACAGGAACCAATCTCTTCCATGATATAGTGGCATAGTGGCACAGAAATTCAGATGCCCTTCTCCAGTTCATGTCGCCCCAAGATATTGTGGACCTGGGACGTCCAACATATCTGGCTGTTCTCCAAGCCTCGGGGGAGCTTTTGGCTCGGGCCTGAACCATTTGGTGCAGAAGCCATGCGCAAGTGGTTCAGGATGCTCGAAAAACCACGCCTGTTCATGACGACATGTTCACGTTTGGTCTATTTTGGGGTTGTTGTTGGGTTCTTTGGGTATGATGTTTCACACAGGGCGAAGGTTCCCCGAACCGATTTGGGGCACTTCACAGAAAAGCGGCTGCTTCTTGTCATGAAAGTGACATGAACCTTTGCAGTAGAAGGCGCTGAGACTTTTCTAGACTCTTTGAGCTGCGACCGCACAGGTGGCAGTACGACTCGATTGGTGTAATACGTATATGTGGGGTCTGTCCGTTCTTACCTGTAACAGTCAGTAAAAGTATTACAATTTTTGGGCAAGGCCTTTACTAACCATCATCATCCACTGTTACAGGTAATAGGATAGACCCAAACTATATGGACTGTATTTGGCAGGCCTACAGAGACTGACATCATGACTGGGGAATGACATTACGTTTCTCAGTCTGACCTGGTCGATCTAAAGGGCTCTGAACATACACTAATGATGTCATATTGCCGTCGCACATGTTCATTTTGACCACCATGTCATTCTCCAACCCCTTTAGACTTGGAGAGTGTGGTTCGGCTCAATCTTTGGTGAACTATGGAGGCTGCACCCTGGTCGCGGTCGCCTGTGCGGGCGAACCGTCCGACCAAGGTCTCATGCGAGGCGAAGCTGTCGACGTGCGGATCCTCAGCCGAGTGAGACCCTCCTACTATAGGTCAGGATCCTGTCTCACTTCATTCTCCCCCTTTGTTCAAGGCAACGAAATTCCCTCCACATTCACTCGGAAAGGGGGGGAGATGGGTTTATGGACATGTTTTTTCTTCAGACCGCTCAGCGCTCCTCCAGCGACCGAGACCTGAGGTGACCTGAGGTGACCTGTGAGCGACAGTAAGAGAGATTTCCTCCTGTAATGTTCCCAAGACAAGCCACCAGGTGGTCATTCGTTCTGCCCGGATTTGGTTGAAGAATTTGCTATGACAAAGTGCTTTGGAGGCAACTGGAAGGGTATGGGTTGGTAGATGGTGGTCAACTTCAGCTTTCGATCATTCCACGTCCGGTTCATCAATTTCTTTGGACGGATCCCACTGTTGTTTTCAACTACAAGTGAATTATTTGAGCCACCTCTACCATCCTCTGTCGGTTTTGTGAATGTTTCGTTGCTTCAGCGTTGCTGCTTCCCGAGGCGGGCGGACTCCTTCAGGCGTGGCCTTATGGTGGGAAGGACGACCATTCCCAGATCACAAGAGTGTAGTATCCCAATTGTGAGAATCAGTGGGGCCCATCTCGTGAGATCAAAACTCTTCCAACGTGTCATTCCAATTTTTGAGTTCCCAATCACCGATTCTTGTGGATTGCAGGATGGATCAGAACATGGATGAAAGCCCCCCCACATCGATCCAGGGCTCGCTGGCGCGGACGGTGTCGATGGCACGACTCGTGAATCGATGGACGGTGTCCGGTGTCCCCCAGTGATGGTCACGCGCTAAAGGACCCGCCGGCGCATGACCCACTCTACAGAGCAGGATTCGTCGGCTCCCTGTTGGGGCTCAACGAGGTTCGTATTGTGATGTTTTATATAACTATCAATTTCGCTTCGAACCCGAGTGTGTGTTATGGTCCTGGAAGAAAATTGTCCTCCAACCACCCCATCTTCCACTTCCGTCTCAAATCGGGAGGGTCAATAGTAGTAGATACTGGCGCCTGAACCTTCCAAGCTCGTGTTGTTGTGTTTCACATGTTGGAGACATTTTATGGTGCCGTTCAATCGCCCGGGCCTTTTTTGCAGCAGAACCTCTTGTACCGCAGGCGGTCTGTCAGAGGGGAACCGATGAAAGCTACAGACGACGGGGCTCCGATGTCCGATGTCTTGGGCCTTGGGCAGCTTGCCTCAGGACATGACTGTAGGTGCCCGAGGTCCTGTAGGTCCCGGTAGGTCATAGACCTTGGACATCCTTGGACCCTGCTATGATGGTGGTACCGTACCGATTTTGGTTCGACAGACCATGCAGGTTCCTCTTCAGGACGCTTCCGTTGTGCACGCTGGGAAGATCATGGAAGATCCATTCCAAAGATGAAGCTGGACACAAGGAAGAGACCATACACCAGGTGAGATAGGGACTGGTCTCCAGCTGCCACCATGTCTTCCTGAACTCAATACTGAAATGTTTAGTCAAGTACCCTGATGAGAAGCAAGCTCGACCACTTCATCAGGATCCTCACGTTCAACATTGCGGACATGTTCAGTTATACGATTTGAAGAAGATGCACCTCGTGACCAGACCCACACTCGCTGATGTGATTCGGACTGAGCAATGGCTTGGGTCGCTGCGGGTCTCCCTACTCCCAATGAAACCTGTTCAGAGCGACCGGGGAGTCCCCAAGAGATGCACTGGTTTTTCATGAGACGACAGAAAGTTGGGAACATCTCTTCCCAATCTCTTCTCCATGTTCGCTTTCCGAAACGAGGCCGAACGGCACCCGAAACCGGCACCGGAAACCCGAACGCCCCCCGAACGCCCCAGGGGAGCCGCTCCTCACGTCAAGGTGTTTCGGCAGGGGAAGGAGTGCAGCGGTCTTCTCGAAGAAAGGATCGCCAAAAGCCAGAACTGGCGATAGAACCGGCTATTTAGAACGTGCTTGGAACCTGTGGAAAGCAGGTGTTGTTTCCTTAAAAACTGTATAAACAAGAAAGGTCAAATTATATACCATTACTGTATCATTTTGTATATATGGCATGACTATATATAAATAATATATATATATATACATATATGTACATATGGCTCAAGGCTCAAGCCGTTTTAGCCTCAAACTCGGTGGCTTCCAGCCTCCGAGGGCCCTGGACTACACGGTCACTTTGAGGTTGAGGTCCTCACAGGCCAGATCGTGAAGGGGG